GGTAAGTTTGTGTTTCTAGGAATTTATTCATTTCTTCTTTATTTATTTGTATAGAATGGCTTGTAATATTTTTGTTCCCCTTTTTATTTTATGTTTTTAAGTTGTTTTTTTTTCTCTTAGTTAATCTACCTAAGAGTTTCTCATGTTTCTTAATCTTCCGATATAGGGATGGCTGGTTTGCTCACTGGCTGAGCGTGGTGCTGACCACACCAAGCCAAGGGTTGAGATCACCTTACCGGTCATCTTTAAAAAAAAAAAAAAAAAGAAAGTATCATCTCTTAGTCTCATGACTTTCTCTAGTGATTTTCTATTCTTTATTTCATGTCTTTCCTAATTTTTACTATTTCATCTTTTCTGTTATCTTTTTCTTATTTGACGTCTAAAGTTAGGTTCTTGATTTGATTTTTTTTTCTATTTTAATGTAAGCATTGAGTTATGAATTTTTTTTATTAGCACTGTTTCTGTTGTAGTCAATGAGTTTTGGCATGTTGTAGTTTTCTTTTCCTTTATTTCAAGATGTTTTCTAATTTTTCTTTTGATTTCTCGTTTGACTCTGGTTATTTTAGAGTGTGTTTGCATATACATCAACATTTTAAAAACAAGTTAATGCTGTTAAATGGCTTAGCATAGTACAAGTTTTACAGTAAAGACTCAAAAGTTTCTTTGTTTAATAAGATTCATCAGTGTTCTATAATGTTGATGATGAGGTGATCATTTACCTGTCTTATTCACCTCATTGTGCCATAAGAAATACCATAGACTAGGAAGCTTAACCACAGAAATTGATTTCTGACCAATCTGGAGGCTAGGAAGTTTAAGATCAAGGCTCCAGTCATATCGATTCCTGGTGAGAGCCCTCTTCATGGTTTAGCCTAGCCATCTTCTGGCTGTGTTCCAACATGGTAAAACGAGGGACACAAATCAAATTCTCCAGTGTCTCTTCTTATAAGGGCACTAGTTCTGTTTTTGAGTCATTCACTGTTACAACCGTATTATCTCCCACAAGCCCCTCCTGCAATAAAATCCCACCAGAGAATAGAACCTCAACAAATGAATTTGGTTGACACATTCAGACCATATAGCCTGCATTATATTTTGCATGTTTTTATTTTTCAATTTGTTTAAAAAAACAATGTTTTCTTTGATCTTAGTTAATAAATTTTCTGTGTACAAACTTTATTATATTTGTTTTACAACCAATGAACTAGATACTTAAAGGGCAATTCATGTATGGCAGTCTGCTCTATTGACTGGCTGCTACATAACTGCAGGCCCAATCTTATACTTTATAATGTTATGACTCATACATCAAAATCAGCCATCTTAACATATATTTCAGTTCTCATATTGTGTGTTGGTTCTGAAATTGAAGACCTGGCTGTATTTTTTTTATATTAAAAATGATTTGTTTAGAATTCCATAGACCATAAGTGTGTATAAATGTCGATACTAAATATATGCTTGGTGGTTTTATCATGGGTTATTACACTGTTTTACTAATTAACTTTTATTGTTATGTACAGATGATGTTTTTTCAGCATGTGTTATTCAATAAAACATGTACCACTTGTTAATATTACAAAAGCCAGGCTGGTCTTTGTGGGTATAGATAGTTTCAACACAGTCTTCAGAAAAGTATGTTTTTAGCAGTTTTTTTTTTTAAAGATGACTGGTAAGGGGATCTTAACCCTTGACTTGGTGTTGTCAGCACCACGCTCACCCAGTGAGCCAAGCGGCTATCCCTATATGGGATCCGAACCTGCGGCCTTGGTGTTATCAGTACCGCACTCTCCCGAGTGAGCCATGGGCCGGCCTTGTTTTTAGCAGTTTTTAAAATACATTTCTTATTTTCTGTGTCATTATTGTTTTGCAATTCAGAATTACCATTTATATACATTATTTATTACATAATTTTGTAGTGGATTATGTACCATTACATTATGCTGTGCAGTGCATTAGCATTTATTTGTGCAAAATAAATATGCTATAAATACATATACTGTAATTTTTTCCCCCAGTAATTAAACAGGAATATTTTTTCTGCTAATTGATGTATACTTGGGTTCACGTTTGAGAACTATTCTTTTTTTCAGGGCTCATGTGTTTGTGCAGTGTAAGAGTTTCATTATAGGTTGTTTAAAACTAGGTTTTTCTTGCATTCATTTGATACTTAATGACCTTTTTCTTATTAAACACACCTATTTTAATAGTGTTCCTAAAAATGGAAGGTCATGGATGGAAAGTTTTATAACTGTTTAATATAAGTATTACTTTTTGTATAATGTCATCTATATCAATGTGAAACATTTATCATGTGTAATTAATTTGAAACCTATGGTTCCATATACCTTTTAGATTTCTCTCCTAAATGCCTGATCAAGAAATTACCACCAAAAGGGAAAAGTAACACAGAAGTATTACACACGGTGTTGTTGGGAAGACATGAAAACGATTGCAGCAAAGATTTTTGCTTCCAAGAAACCCAGAGAAATACTCATGACTTTGAGTTTCAGTGGAGAGAGGATGATAGAAATTACAATAGAGTGCCTATGATAAAAAAAAATTTTGCTGGTAGAAGGGATGAACGTGAACGAACAGATGCAGGAAGCAAGTGTATTAATAATCAGCTTGGATTAAACTTTGAATCACATCTTACTGAACAGCAGCTATTTCAGGCTGAAGAGAACATCTATGAATGTAATCAAGTTCAGAAATCTATCAACAATGATTTCTCAATTTCACTACCCCGAAGGAAACCTTCTAGCCTCAAAACCCATATTTCTAATAAATATGGAACAGTTCCCATTCGTGAACAGAAAATACACATTATGGGAAAACCTTACAAATGTAATGAGTGTGGCAAAGCTTTTAGTCATGACTCACATCTCACTCGACATCAGTTAATCCATTCTGGAGAGAAACAACATAAATGTGATAAATGTGGCAAGGTCTATAGTCAAAAAGCCAACCTTGAAAGTCATCAGAGAGTTCATACTATAAAGAAACCATACAAATGTAAAGAGTGTGACAGGGCTTTTAGTCGCAAATCACACCTCGTACGTCATTGGACAATTCATACTGGAAAAAAACCTCACAAATGTGATGAATGCAACAAGGTCTTTAGTCGCAATTCAAACCTTTCACTACATCAAAGAATTCATACTGGAGAGAAACCTTGCAAGTGTAATGAGTGTGGGAAAGCCTTTAGTTTACCATCATCACTATATAGACATCAGAGAATCCATACTGGGGAGAAACCTTTCAAATGTAATGAATGTGGCAAAGCCTTTAGACACGTTTCAACCCTTACCAAACATCAGAATATGCACACTGGAGAAAAACCTTACAAATGTAATGAATGTGGTAGGGTCTTCAGTCGAGCTTCAAGCCTTACAATTCATCGTAGAATTCATACTGGAGAGAAACCGTATAAATGTAATGAATGTGGCAAAGTCTTCAATCGATGTTCGAGCCTTACAAGTCATCGCAGAATTCATACAAGAGACAAACGTTACAAGTGTAATCACTGTGGCAAGATGTTCAGTCAACGTCCAAATCTTTTAAGTCATCAGAGAATTCACACTGGAGAGAAAACTCACAAATGTAATGAATGTGGCAAGGCATTCAGCCAAATTTCACATCTCGCAAGTCATCAGAGAATTCATACTGGAGAGAAACTTTAGAAATGTAATGAATGTGGCAAAGTCTTCAATCGATGTTCGAGCCTTACAAGTCATCGCAGAATTCATACAAGAGACAAACGTTACAAGTGTAATCACTGTGGCAAGATGTTCAGTCAACGTCCAAATCTTTTAAGTCATCAGAGAATTCACACTGGAGAGAAAACTCACAAATGTAATGAATGTGGCAAGGCATTCAGCCAAATTTCACATCTCGCAAGTCATCAGAGAATTCATACTGGAGAGAAACTTTAGAAATGTAATGAATGTGGCAAAGTCTTCAATCGATGTTCGAGCCTTACAAGTCATCGCAGAATTCATACAAGAGACAAACGTTACAAGTGTAATCACTGTGGCAAGATGTTCAGTCAACGTCCAAATCTTTTAAGTCATCAGAGAATTCACACTGGAGAGAAAACTCACAAATGTAATGAATGTGGCAAGGCATTCAGCCAAATTTCACATCTCGCAAGTCATCAGAGAATTCATACTGGAGAGAAACTTTAGAAATGTAATGAATGTGGCAAAGTCTTCAATCGATGTTCGAGCCTTACAAGTCATCGCAGAATTCATACAAGAGACAAACGTTACAAGTGTAATCACTGTGGCAAGATGTTCAGTCAACGTCCAAATCTTTTAAGTCATCAGAGAATTCACACTGGAGAGAAAACTCACAAATGTAATGAATGTGGCAAGGCATTCAGCCAAATTTCACATCTCGCAAGTCATCAGAGAATTCATACTGGAGAGAAACTTTAGAAATGTAATGAATGTGGCAAAGTCTTCAATCGATGTTCGAGCCTTACAAGTCATCGCAGAATTCATACAAGAGACAAACGTTACAAGTGTAATCACTGTGGCAAGATGTTCAGTCAACGTCCAAATCTTTTAAGTCATCAGAGAATTCACACTGGAGAGAAAACTCACAAATGTAATGAATGTGGCAAGGCATTCAGCCAAATTTCACATCTCGCAAGTCATCAGAGAATTCATACTGGAGAGAAACTTTAGAAATGTAATGAATGTGGCAAAGTCTTGATACCTCAAGATGCCTAAAAGCGTGAAGTTATGCGTTTGCTGAGACCACTTCTGCTTTTGGAACCTGACAAGGTAGGATGAAAGCCTGCAAACCTGAGTGGTCTCACGCTGGGAGACATTTTTGTATGATATGATGATAGGACTAATTATTAATAATTGAATGGGATTCTAGTAATGCATTAGTATCTTTCGAGTTTTATATTGTTTTGATGTAAGGGATGTTTGTTCAAACACCATGGATAGGCTGTGGTAAAGTATATATTTTTTGTCACCCATCCTTTGTTTCTTAACATATAGCTCCTAAACTCGATGGGATCTCCAGAGCGATGAGTGTCTTTAGTATGCTAATAAGATGGCTTGTGGGTAGTGTTCTCTAGATAGCTTCAGAATTGGGATTGGTCACTGGAAAGACCGAGGCATGATTAGAGGATTGGGACTTTTAGCTCCACCCCCCCAACCTCCAGGGAGTGGAGAGGGGCTGAAGGTTAGGTTACCAGTGTCCGACAATTTAATCAGTCTTGCCTACATCATGGAGCTTCCCAAAAAACCCAAGAGGCCTAAGTTCAGGGAACATCTGGATAGCTGAAAATGTTGGGGTTCCTGGAGAAATAGCATGCCCAGGAGAGCGTAGAAGCTCTGCTCCTCTTCCTACATAACCTCTCCCTACACATCTGTTCATCTGTATCTTTTGTAATATCCTTTATAATAAACCAGTAAATGTGTTTCCCTCAGTTCTGTGTGCATCTCTAACAATCCAATCCAAGGAGAAGGTAATGGGAACTCCTATTTATAGCTGATCAGTCAGAAGCACAGCCCGTGAGTTGGGTCTGAAATCTATAGTGGGGAAATGTTTGTGAGACTGAGCCCTCAGCCTGTGGGAACTGTTGGTATCTCCAGGCAGATAATGTCAGCATTGAATTCGAGAATATCCAGCTGGTGTCTGGAGTAAACTAAGGAGAACACAAAGTAAAGATCGAGTCACTTGCGGGGGCGCACCAAATCCAAGAAGCCAGAGTTTGACAAGGATCCTCTGACTTGACACGATGCTTGCAAGGCCTCATCGTGGGAGGAGGTGCCGCCATTCCACCCTCATTTTTTGGAGCACCATGTGCCTGCTTTGTCTTATTATATTCTATTCCTTACTGCCTCATAATTATCACTCTGGGGGGATTGGGAGTGGGATTGAGAATCATACCAGAGTGTTTAACCATACTAATGACACCCCTGGGAGTTATGGTCATGGGTTCTCTGGAGATGGTTTGTGGTAGCTAGGACCAGAAGGGGGCAGCGAACTTATGTAAACATTTACCTTGTCTGCTTCCTGGAAGGATTGTTTTTAGTGCAATTAGTGAACATAATGGAGATGTTATTGAAAACTTACTCAAAAGTTGCTAGGCAACATGGTTATAAAATAACTACTGCTATGCCTAGTCTGCCTGTTTCAAAGAGTCAAACATAAACTTTCTTTTCCAATAAAAGAACCCCCTAAAAAGAGTACATATTAGTTGAAAGCAGATCATAGAATTCCCCTCAAGTAAGAAACCTCATAAAAGGTCTTTTAGCGAATGTTTTTATCTCCCATAGGATAGTGAGTTTAGAATTATTACATATGGCGAATCGGTATTGGGATAGAAAATTAGTTGATTATTTTACTTATAATATGATAGTTAATCATGGAAATATAGATTCAGGTTAAGTTTTAGAATATTTTTATTAGGCTTAACACATTATAGGATGTAGTAGGTAAAAAATTTTACTTTATATTACAATATGTTTTAGCAATGAAAAATATTGGTAAACAGAACTTTGACTTCCTGCTTGCACCCTTTAGTTAAGGTACAAGTCTGGATTATGTTTTAATAACGTTATATAGAATTTAATGTAACGTACATTTAGTTAAATTAAATGTAATGGTTAATGATTATTTGGGATTAATAGGTTTCCTGTGGGCGTTTTATTTTGCTCATAAGAAAAGGCATTGTGGTTGTCTTTTCTAGGAACACATTGCAATGCCACTTTTACTGGGAACACGTTATTCATAAAAGACGTCATGACGCTGCTCAATGATTAGGAAAGAACATTGTAGTTACAAAAAGACATCCTGACGCTGTTTAATGATTAGGAAAGAACATTGTAGTTATCTTTTTTGGGAACATATTGTAATCTTAATTTTATTGGGAACACATGTTGTTCATGGCAAGATGTTACGATGTTGTTCAATGATTATTTTGCCTTTTTAAAAAGTATAAAAAGTGTGTGCATGCTTCAATAAAGTGTCAGCATTCAGCAGATCTCTTGAGTCTGTGTGTTTGCTATCCATTCCATTGTCAACGCTGCCCTTCCTCCCTTTTGGGGGATTATCAGTGAGGACCCCATGACTCCTGTGCTAGGGCTGGACCCCGGCAGTCACTGTTGCTATACAGGACTGAGGTAATATAAAGAATGCAAAAGACTGTGTCAGCAAGGACTAGCAAGGATTTACCACAAACTGCAGCTAACATTCTGTGTGAATTAGAGAATACCCAGCTGGTGTCTGGAGTAAACTTAGGAGAACACAAACTAAAGATGGAGTCACTGTTGTTATACAGGACGGAGGTAATATGAAGAATGCAAAAGACTGTGTCAGCAAGAACTAGCAAGGATTTACCACAAACTGCAGCTAACATTCTGTGGGATTGCCTAGGGGATAGAGAGGTATGGGAGGGGTTGAGAGCCTGCTAATATATATATAAAGCCTCCTCACAGAGAATAAAGTTGCTTAGTGCTTTGCGCTAAGTCCCAGAACTTTGTGTCTCGCTCCTTGATTGCCTGCCTCACCGGGTAACTGCTACCTATCTCAGGCATGTCCTGAGCAACTTGCCTACGGTCAGCTCACCTATGTTTTGGTGAGTGAGCAGAGTGGTGCCAGAACAGGGACTCAAGACAGGACCTGAAGCAGGGACCTGACAAACCAAAGGCTGTAAGGTAAGTCTTTGCGACTGCTTTTGGATAGGAGCATCTTATAAGCAGGATGGGAGCAGCTGCATCAGCAAGGAAGGTTGCTTCTTTAGCACAAAGCACAGGACGATGTCTTTCAATGAGGAAGGGTGACTTTGGAAAGTCCTGTTGGACCATTCAGGACTTTCGTGTGGCTTTCAGCACAGTACATGAATTGTGTCCTTCGTTTTCATCAGAATGGACTTTAGACATTATGATAATTAGAGAAGGAATTATAAAATTACAGGAAGCTATGGCGACACATCCAGAATTAAAAACAGAGCTACAGGCCTTGCAGGTATTTTTGTGTAGGAGAGTGTTAGGAGTGGCAGTGCAGTCCACTGAGGAAGTAGAAAAGGTCTGTCAAGGGCTAATGGACTCTGGCCAGGTCTGTGGCCTAAGTGACAAACAGGCGAAGGATAATCTGAAGCAGGTGTACCCAGTAGTCCAAGGTCCAGGGGGAGCTATGTGTTCTCTGCACTCGAGTTATGGCAGATTTTTTTGACATCATTAGTCATCATGGACTACTGAGCTCAGAAACCATCACACAAATGCAAGTTTTGTGTATGCAGGATTTATGCCAGGTAGAAGTAAAAGGATTAATTGCTCAAGCACCTGGGAATGCTGCACAGAAATTAATTTTGAGAGTTAAGAACACAATATAGAGATGAATGGGACTATTAAAACCCAGTATAGCCAGGTGTTTTTCCAAGAC